ATCTGCATATCTGAGGTTGTTGACATTTCTTCCAGCAATCTTAATTCCGAAAGAAGTATCAACAACCGGCTACCTACATGCAATTATATTTTTATAACTGTGTTATAAACATGTGGCAACAGGTGGCACCGTAGAGCAGCCCAAATTGCCTCTGGGATTTTACATTATGAGCTTTGGAACGCGTTTTCCTGTAATTTATTTTTTAATGTGCCTAGGGCTAGATCTAGGGAAGGATCTGCATGTCTTGAAATGTGGGTTCATGAAGCAAAACATTTTGGGGGTGCCTTTGGTAGGGCTGCCATACGTCTGGGAATAAGGGTGCGAAATGGCTTCCCGGCGGATTTTTGCTGAATTGGCAAAATGTCTGAGGAAAAGCTCAACAACTTTGTCCAGATTTCCACATTTGGCAGCTCTGTCTTTGGAGTCTTGTTCCTTGTTGTTTGAGGCCATTGCAGCAGTCCTGCATAAGTAGTGTTATCCACCTCTAGGCTTTTGAGAAGGCAGATAGAAGAAAGAGGAGAGAGGGAATCCTTTCAACCATTGTAAAGGAAGAAAACTATAAGGCAATTGAATGGCTGGCCCTTCCAGTTCCCCTTTGGCTTCCATAATCCCTTTTTTGCTTGCTATTTTTTGCTTTTCTAATTGGAATAGAAAGCGGTTTCTCTGTCCCTATCTTTCTGGTAGCAGCAGCTGTCTGGCTTCTGCCCTCCAAGTTGTGTCACAAGCCACCAGGTGTCTGTATAACATTGCTGCCTCCCATTCCCTTCAGACTTCCGGGCGGAGTGAAGCGGGATTGTCGGCTGAGGCTGATTCTCTTGCACCGAGGAAAAGCCTTTGTTCCCATTGCCCAGTCCAGAGCTTTTGGTTCTGTTCCATAAGCTTCATCCTGCTGGCTCACAGCCCTGTTTATTTTGGCACATCATGCAGTCTTGGAAAGGTCTTGTTGCATTGGCCTCTCTTAACTGTTCTGCCAAATAAGTAAAACTTGAGGAAAGAAATTAAGCAAAAAACAAAAACAAACCCAAACCCTGAGAAATATTTTGGCTTCCAAATCCATCATTGAATACTGTAATTTAAGGAAGGGAGAGGGCAGTCATCTGAGATAGTTACAAAGGAAGCTGTCTTCTGCCAAAGTAGACCGCTTGGTTCTTCTCCCTCAATAGACTCTACACTGACTGCCCGGCGTTTCAGACAGGGAGTCTTTTCCAGGGGTATCTGGAGATACCAGGGATCAAACCAGGACCTTCTGCAGCCAAACCAGATGTTCTGCCACTGAGTTAGGTCTATTCCCCATCTGGATCAGCTATGAGAGGTTCTCCAACTGTCCCTGCCTGTTCTGTTATTTCCCCTTGCTATCAATAACATCTTCTTACCTATTCAAGCTGTATGATGCGTTTGGAGAGGGAGGTGCAAGACAGCATATCCACTTTATGTGCATCAACAGAAGGTTGAATTTCTGTAGAGAAATACCTTGGAGGAACAAGCAATCGCACCGAGACTTTTAATGGGAAAATAAGAAAGATGGTTTCGTTATTGGACATAGATATTTTGGATAGAGAAGATCCCTAGCCTAGCTAACTAACTTAGTTGGAGAAACAAAGGCATCCACACTTCCCCCTTTGTTCTCAGGAGAGCTAGATCCCAGATGACCTTGTGTTGAGGTCCAAAGAGAGGTGGGAGAGTGGAAGTGGGGGATGATGCAACCTGAGATTTCCATTCTGCACAGCACAAGATCAAATATACTGAGACAGTCTAGGAAGCTGGAGGTCTCCTACTCCAGGCTTCCTCAATCTCGGCCCTCCATATGTTTTTGGCCTACAACTCCCATGATCCCTAGCTAGCAGGACCAGTGGTCAGGGATGATGGGAATTGTAGCCTCAAAACATCTGGAGGGCCAAGGTTGAGGAAGCCTGTCCTACGCAGTCTGTCTTAACCTCTTGCAAACCCTATACTGTATCTCAGCAAACTGAGTTGCACTCCACTTCCAACAGTTGATAGAGAGATGTTCTTTGTAGCACCTCTTACTTGCCAAACATGTCTCTGAGCCTTGTTTAGAAGTGTTGCAACAAGTTATTTTAAAGCTGAATCAGGAAAGCTAGGGATTAGTGTGTTATTATTTGTGGGGTTTTTTTAAAATGTGTCTTTAATGAGATATTTTGTGTTAAGTTGTGGGCAAACATATCAGACGACACAGCGATTCTTCCAAAGCAGATCTTTATTTGTAAGCTGGAACAGAACTGAACTGATGAGCTCAGTCAGCCTGCTTATATAGGGCTCCACTAGAATGCAACAGTAACCATTTTCTGTAACTAGCCAATCACTGAACGTCACTTTCGATCCTTCATTTGCATACAAACTATCCAATCACTGAACGTCACTTTCGATCCTTCATTTGCATAACTATCTACAGTATCCCCCTGCTGGCCCAGGGTGAGAACTTCAGTACATAACATTTTGGATCCATAGTTTAATAATTGCCTTCAGGTTTCTCAAAAGGATAGACTACTATAAGCAATTAGGATTAGGTACCTCAAGAAGAGACCACAGAAAAACAAAGGAAATTATGAGAACTGCTGGTTCTCATCACTATCACATCAGTTGAGGATACAAATATAGCCATTCAATGATTGGCAATCCATCCTTAAATGGGAGACTGGCACGCCATCACATGGCATCCAAAACCGAACCACCCAGCTACTGAAAACGGCACAAAGACTGAAAAAGGCACAGGTTCCCAATCAGCATCAGTCAAAATTCAGTTGTCACGTTCAGAATTTGAAATAGTTTGCTTCCACCTCAGGGCGTTTTACTGCTTGACAGAAGCAGAATTCAAACAATAGTTCCACTGGGCATTATATTCCCCATTACAATCCCACAAAGCCTAAGGGCAAGATCCAAACACGCATTTACTCAGAAGTCATGTTCAGCAAAAGTCTTAGTTCACTTAGCTTTCAGCCCTTTAATTAGTTGCTCGGTCTTTGTTCATTTGTTTTATTGTGATAATACAATTGTGATGACAATAATGTAGCTCCGGCTACAAAGAGAAAAGTACATACAGTGGTACCTCGGGTTACATATGCTTCAGGTTACATTCACTTCAGGTTACAGACTCCGCTACCCCAGAAATAGTACCTTGGGTTAAGAACTTTGCTTCAGGATGAGAACAGAAATCGTGCTCCAGCAGTGCGGCGGCAGCAGGAGGCCCCATTAGCTAAAGTGGTGCTTCAGGTTAAGAACAGTTTCAGGTTAAGAACAGACCTCCAGAATGAATTAAGTTCTTAACCTGAGGTACCACTGTAATTAAAAAGCCCACCAGCAATGACAAGCCAAACCAGGAATCCCCAGGCCAAGAGTGAATGGAAGCAACTAATCTGAGAATTAAGATGTGTACACTTTTAAACTAGCATAGCCCTTCCCTCAAAGAATTTTGGGCACTGCAGTTTACCCCTCACAGAGTTGCAATTCCCAACAACCCTTAACAAAGCATAGCATGAAGCAGCTGAGAAACAGATGCTGATTTTAGAAAGGGCAAGGATGGAATGCGGCATCAAAGGGCTTAAAAGCAGAGAGAAGCCTCAGTAGTGCTTTGCCGGTTCACACTAGTGATCCCGCTGAACCCTGTAATTGCTTAATCCAAAATACAAATATGACACATTTGTAAACTGCCCCACTGTTATGAACTGGGCCTTGGCCCTCAATGGAAGTTCTCTGGCACAGCTCACAATAGCAATCTTCCAAGAATGGGGGTCGGCTAGAGTGTGTGTGTGCTTTGTGACAAGAAAGTAGGTGAAAGGCGAAGGCAGATGATGAAAAGAGGAAGGAGCAAAGGGTTAGGGAAAGAACCTCCATTACTTCCTTCTCTCCCTCCCTGCCTGCCATTCCCATTACAGTGGTACCTCTAGTTACGAACTTAATTCGTTCCGGAGGTCCGTTCTTAACCTGAAACTGTTCTTAACTAGAGGCGTGCTTTCGTTAATGGGGCCTCTTGCTGCCTCTGCGCTGCCAGCACATGATTTCGGTTCTCATCCTGGGGCAAAGTTCTCAACTTGAGGTAACTCTTCCATGTTAGCGGAGTTTATAACCTGAAGCATTTGTAACCTGAGGCGGTTGTAACTCGAGGTACCACAGTACTTGCAATGGAGGAAGAGCCAATGCCACAAAAGCAGCCAGGGAAAGGGGATTGGTGCCTTACTTTGGGACAGGAATTCAGACCCTGAAACACCACTGATGATGTCACTGGGGGCATAATAGGGTTCGAATTGTGCTGTTTCCTGATCGTTCAAGGGGCGCACAATGTCTCTGATGTAGTGATGTGACAGGGCAAGAAGCAAACCTGGGCAGTCCCAAGAGAGGTCTGGAATGCCAGAATATGAGAGGAAATGTTCTTCCCATTTTTAGGGTTGCCATATGTCCAGATTTTCCCGGACATTACCAAGATTTCAAAGGCAGAATTGACGTCCGGGCAGAATTTCCGAAAGGCAGCACTTTGTCCTGGATCTTAGGCAAGTGAATCAAAAAATCGCTTCTTCTTCTTTTGGGGGGCATTATTGTAAAAAAGGGGGGGGGAGCACAACTGCTTTGAGGGTGTCCTGGTTTTTACTTATTGAAATATGGCAACCCTAACCATTATCTCTATCTGGAATCCCAGACAGAAACTGTTAAGTTGTGGGTGAACATATCAGACGACACAGCGATTCTTCAAACAGCTCTTCTTTATTTAGAGGTAGAACAGAACTAACTGGGGAGCTCAGTCAGCCTGCTTATATAGAGCTCCAGAACAATGTAACTGTTGCCATTTTCTAAAACTATCTAATCACTGAATGCCACTTTCGATCCTTCATTTGCATAACTATCTACAGTATCCTCCTGCTGGCCCAGTACATAACACCCCTCCCCACCGAGATAAGGCATTAGTTACAATCATAATGGTTTCCTTATATACAGCACTACACGTAATGGTTCAATTAGGCAAAAAAGCATATCGGTTACATTTCCCATACTTAGACCAACAGTGATACATGTCCAACAACATAGTCCTTTAAATAAGTTGGGCACTTGGAAACTCTGCCAGACCGCCGGGGACTGGTAGCCAAGTCCGGGGGGCCACCCAATTCTTGCTGAGGCTGTGGTGCGACCCTAGGTGGCTTTGAAACCAAGTCCCCTGGATCCGCTGCTGTGGGTGGAGCCTTCGCAAGTGGAGTGGTCTGAGCCTGTGGTAAGTCTGGCAGACCCTCTGCAGTGGCTTGGTTCGGCTCCACGCTGGCAGTTTGCGAGAGAGGTGGAGCCTCACCATCTGTAAGTGTCTCTTCCGGAGCCACGAGCGCAGTTGGGGGCACCACGGTAGTGTCCAAGTCCCCAACCCTGTGCCTAAGCTGGTCTATGTGCCGGCGCCACAAGCGTCCATCTTCGAGTGCCACCTGGTACGAGCGAGGTCCAGTGACTCCCACTACTGTGGCTGGCACCCAAGGAATGTCCCCCACATAGTTCCGGGCAAAGACCTGGTTTCCTGGAACAAATGACCGTGGCGCGTTGGCACAGCCTGGGGGTTTGGCCACTGCAAAGTCCGGGTGCAGCCGGTTGAGCGGGGACCTGAGGCGGCGGCCCATAAGCAGTTCAGCAGGACTCCGCCCTGTGGCCGCATGAGGGGTGATGTGTTGCACGAACAAGTATTCGGCGACCCGCTCGTGCCAATCTCCCCGGTCCAGGTGCGCCAGTGCCTCTTTTGCTGAGCGCACCATCCTCTCCACTTGCCCGTTGCTGGATGGATGAAATGGTGCCGTTAGGGCATGGCGGATGCCCAGTCCCAAAAGATACCGCTCAAAAGTGCCTGATGTGAACTGCGGTCCATTGTCGGAGACAAGGACATCAGGACACCCATGCGTCGCAAAGAGGCCTCGCAGCACCCGGATGACGGCCTCGGTAGTGGTGGAGGGCATCAGGGCCACCTCCAGCCATTTGGAATAGGCGTCCACCACTACCATAAAGGTCCGGCCGTGAAAGGGGCCAGCCAGATCGATGTGCACCCTCGACCAGGGTGTCTTGGGCGTCTCCCAGGTGTGTCCCTTAGCTGCCGGTGGTGCAGGCCTTGATTCTTGGCACGCTTGACAGGCGGACACCCAGGCAGTGATGGCATCGTCCATGTTAGGGCCACCAGACGTAACACCGAGCCAACGCCTTCATTTTGACGATTCCCGGGTGGCCAATGTGCAGAGCCTCCAGGACACGTTGACGGAGTCTTTGGGGAATCACGACGCGGTCTCCCCACAGCAGACAGCCGCGATGAGCCGAGAGTTCATGTTGTCTGGTTGCGAACGGTTGGAACTCTAATGCAAAAGGCCCTTGTGGCCACCCCCTCCACACCCAGTTGAGCACACGGCTGATGGTGCGATCCTGGGCAGATGCGGAGGCCATAGTGTCAGCCGATACAGGCGCTGCTGGAAGATCCTCAATCAGGAGGAGCGATGAAGCAGGAGCAGGATCTTCCACAAACGCTGGAAGAGGGCAACGACTGAGGGTGTCGGCATGGCCCATCGATTTCCCTGGGCGATGGACGAGCCGGTAGTGGTAGGCAGCCAGGAAAACAGTCCATCGTAGCATGTGCGGCGAGAGGACCGGTGGAGTTGGACGATCACCGGCGAGGAGGCCCAGGAGCGGCTTGTGGTCAGTGATGAGGTCAAAAGTCCTGCCGTAGAGGCATGGAACCTCTTCACTCCAGCCACAAGTGCCAGTGCCTCTTTGTCGAGCTGGCTGTAATTCCGTTCCGTTGGAGATAGTGTCCTGGAAAAGTAGGCGAGCGGTGCTTCTCTTCCGTCTGGAAAACGGTGACTAAGGACAGCGCCGATGCCAAAAGGTGAGGCGTCGCAGGCAAGGACCAGCGGCCTGGCTTCACTGTACTGTACTAGCACACTGTCCGATGAAAGGAGAGCCTTGACCGTGTGGAAGGCCGCCGTCTCCCGATGACCCCAGGACCAAGGCGTCTTTATGCTGAGGAGTCGGTGAAGAGGCTCAGCCACCGTGGCTTTGTGGGGCAGGAACATGTTATAAAAGTTCAGCAGCCCCAGGAACGCCTGCAACTCCATCTTGTTCTTTGGGATGGGGGCCTGCTGGATAGCGCAGATCTTGGATGTGGTTGGGTGAAGGCCAGAGGCCTGTGGAACGGCGATCTGGCACTTCTCCCTCTTTACCTCCCTCCTGGAACCTGGTCAGCACGGCACGGCACGGAGGCACTTGAACAGCTGCTGGTGTGAGTCTGCGGACACCAAGACATCATCAAAATATGGTACCACGCCCGGAAGCCCTTGCAGGAGACGCTCCATAAGGCTTTGGAAGATGCCAGGAGCCACACTCACCCCGAACTGCAACCGGCGGCAACGGAATGCCCCCGGTGGGTGACGATCGTCTGGGCTTCAGCAGTGGCATCATCAACGGGCAGTTGTTGATAGGCTTGGGCAAGGTCCAGCTTAGCGAAGACCTTACCCTCACCCAGGGAATGCAGCAGGTGTTGGACAACAGGAACAGGATAAGTGTGCTGCTGAAGTGTCTTGTTGATCGTGCACTTGTAGTCAGCGCAGATTCTCACCGACCCGTCTGGCTTGACAGGCGTGACGATGGGGGCTTCCCACTTGGCGTGGTCAACCGGCTCCAAAACTCCTTGGGCGATCAGCTTGTCCAGTTGTTCGTCCACCTTAGCCTTGAGAGCAAAGGGAACCTGGCGTGGCTTTAGCTTGATGGGGGCAACTTGTGGATCAAGGCTAAAGGAGATGGGCGTACCTGTATATTGCCCCAAAGTGCCGTCAAAAACCTCGGCAAAGTCTTTGACCAGACCCTCAGTCTCTGCGTTAGAGATGCTGTTGATGCCGGTGACTTCCAGGCCGAGGGAATCAAACCAGTTTAGCCCTAGGAGGCTTGGCCGTTGACCTTCGACCACCACCAGTCGGAGCAGGCCCAAAAAATCCTTTAAGGCGATCCGGAACTGGCCAACGCCTACCACGGGAATGTCGTTTCCCTGGTAGTCTCTCAGGTGTACGCGGTGAGAGTCGAGTTGCCTTTTGGACACTCTGGGTACCAGTCTTTTGATGGTGCTCCAAGACACGATGGACAGGGTAGACCCGGTGTCGATCTCCATGTCACATGGAGCTCCTTCAATGAGAACCATGACGTTCAGCTTGCGTCGCGTAGGCGAGTCGGTTTGGCCAATCGTGGTTCCAGACGGGCAGCGGCAGTTGGTGAGAGCGAAACAGCTTTCCTTGGCAGACTGGAGTGAAGACTTGGACTTGCGAGTCGGTGAAAGGGGGGTGTCAGACGGAGCCGATCAGCAGACCTTAGCGATGTGGCCCCTTCTGGAACACGTCCGACAGATGGCATCTCTGAATCGACACTTGGCACGGGAATGGTTGCCTCCGCAGCTGGCACATTCCGGTTGGCCCTTGGACTTCTGTTGGAACTTCCTGCGCTCCCGCTTTGTCTGGTGCACGTCATCGTCATCACTGGAGGATGCCTCATCACTGCTGGCCTCTTCATGATGCACTGGAACTGGCTTCCTAGCAAGACGCGGGCTGCTGGCCTCGCGGATCTCTTGGGCGGAGCGTTCAGCAGCTTCCGAGGCCACAGCCTCCTCAATGGCTTTCTGCAGCGTGAGGTCTGGCTTGGCGAGGAGACGCCGTTGCAGACGGATGTTCCGGACCCCGCAGACGATTCAATCCATCAGGGCATCGTCTAAGTCTCAGAACTCGCAGTGCATTGCAGCCTGCCGGAGAGCGGTGGTGTAGTTGTTGATTGACTCCCCCTCTGCCTGGTTCCGGTGGTAGAACGCATGGCGGGCAGCAATCTTGGACGGCTTTGGAGCGTAGTGTTTGCGGAGCTTCTCTTGGATAGTGTCCCATGGTGTTGCCTGGACTGCTTCAGGCGCAACCAATGCTCGGGCCGTCTTAAACACCTCAGGCCCACAGAGGCTGAGGAATAGGCCCTGCTTCCGCTCCTTTGATACTTTTGTCAGCTCATTGGCTTGGAGGTAGCAGACGAACTGAGCGAGGTAGGAGTCCCATGATTCAGAGGCTGATGCAAACAGCGGTAGAGGCACAAGTGAAGCCATGATTCCGATGCCGGCGTGGAGGGCGATGGATGGAACACCGTGCTCTAGCCAGAACAGTCAGCTCTGAATTGGTTCTGTTCAGTGACTCAGCTCAGTGATTCAGCTCTGCTTGGAGGGTGGCTGCATCTGGCTGTGCTCTGATGTCCATCGATCCCATCCTCGTCGCCAGTGTTAAGTTGTGGGTGAACATATCAGACGACACAGCGATTCTTCAAACAGCTCTTCTTTATTCAGAGGCAGAACAGAACTAACTGGGGAGCTCAGACAGCCTGCTTATATAGAGCTCCAGAACAATGTAACTGTTGCCATTTTCTAAAACTATCCAATCACTGAATGTCACTTTCGATCCTTCATTTGCATACAAACTATCCAATCACTGAACGTCACTTTCGATCCTTCATTTGCATAACTATCTACAGTATCCCCCTGCTGGCCCAGTACATAACAGAAACCATGGGAAGCACATCTTCCCTCCTTTTCTGTAAAGGAGCGGTGCTTTGAGAAATGGGACAGGACTCCTGGGTTCGACGCCTATTTGTGTGGTGCTGTGGGTTAAACCACAGAGCCTAGGACTTGCCAATCAGAAGGTCAGCAGTTCAAATCCCCGTGACAGGGTGAGCTCCCGTTGCTCTGTCCCAGCTCCTGCCAACCTAGCAGTTCGAAAGCACGTCAAAGTGCAAGTAGATATTGGCCCAAAAATGGAAGCAAGAAGAATTACCAACAATGGAAGAATGGAGGATGAAATTAATAGACTATGCGGAACCTGACAAACTAACAGGAAGGATCTGAAACTGGCGGGACCAGAAGTTTACCGAGGACTGGAGTAAATTTACAGATTATTTGAAAAGTATTTGTGACGACCAGACGACGTTTGTAGGTTTGCAAGAAGTTCTGTGAGGAATAATATTAGAAATATTGCAAAAATGGAGAAGGAGACGTGATATGTTCAGAATGTAAAGGCAATATTAAGTTAGGAAATGGGTAAGAAGTGATTAAGATGGAGGATAATCAGAGGTGCTGATGGAAGTCCAATAAGAATGTATTTGTGATAAATTGTGTGGTATGTTTTATAATTTTGTATGTTAAAAACCAATAAAAATATTTAAAAAAACAAAAAAAACAAAGTGCAAGTAGATAAATAGGTACTGCTCCGGCGGGAAGGTAAACGGCGTTTCCGTGCGCTGCTCTGGTTCTCCAGAAGCGGCTTTGTCATGCTGGCCACATGACCCGGAAGCTGTATGCCAACTCCCTTGGCCAATAAAGTGACATGAGCGCCAAAACCCCAGAGTCATCCGTGACTGGACCTAATGGTCAGGGGTCCCTTTACCTTTTACTGCTTCTGCCTGTGAAGCATTCTGGGACTGCATCTGTGAGGCAATCTGGGATTTCATCTCGCACCATTATTTAATTTCTTCCACATGGGGCCAGAGATCTTCTAAGATGCCCCTAAAAGGACAACAACTAAGTGGGCAGCCAAAAATATGGTCTGTTACATCCACAGTAGGAGGCTCTCTGTTTCCTGACCCAAGACCCACATGATGGCCTTCAATGTTGCACAGATGCAGCCTGGGAAGATTTCTCTCCCCGGTCCCAATAAATCCTGTTTCTCTGGATTTGATGTGAACTGATGGGGGTTTAGCGTGTCAGTTGCTCAGGCAATCATTTTTAGCCCTGTCGGCAGCAGTGATAAAAAGGCACGCAAAGTCCTGCTGTCGTCATCCTGAGTGCTGCAAGCTATGCGCTATGGCATGCTCTCCCTTCTCCAAAACCACTCAAATAAAAAATAGAACACAAAGCAGACCCTCTCACTCCCCTCTGATACAAGTATGCAATAAATCTCTTTCTCAAACGCAAACACACATAGGAGCTGCAACCCACCACACAAACCCCTGCCCTTAATGTACACAAAGGCAGCTCCGTAATGAAAATGCAAGCTGTTCGCTGTCTGCTGCTGGACGTCTTTGCTGAACCCAGCTGTGCAATGGTCCCTAGAAAGTATGAGGTCCACAGCAGTTATATGGAGCTGTTGTCTCAGGTTCCAGGAAGGTAGCTGTGTCTTTTCTAGAAACGCCCCCAGCAAAGAATAATTCCTCACAGGAAAGTCCTTCAGTGGTTTGGGTAGCTGGTCAAAAGAATCCCAGCCTTTTCTTGTGCCTTTTAACATTAGCCAACTACAGACTGTGAAACTTTTGAAAATAAACGTGATCACCTACTAATACCTGCACACGTTTTGGCACCTGAGGTGAACCACAAAATGGCGCCCCCTCCCCACTAGGGAAGAAGGGGTGAACGAAGATTCACACCAGGAGCAAGGATGGAATAAAGATCTCCATCGGGATCTGCTACCCCTATGGATCCTGTCACAACCCGAGGTGGTCACCTCACCTCACTGTCTAATAATAATAATAATAATAATAATAATAATAATAATAATAATAGTAGTAGTAGTAGTAGTAGTATATATACCCCATCCGTCTTGCTGGGTTTACCCAGCCACTCTGGGCGGCTTACGGCATATCTAGAAACATAATAAAAACATCAAGCATTAAAAAACCTCCTGATACAGGGCTGCCTTCAGATGTCTTCTAAAAGTTGTGTAATTCTTTACCTCCTTGACAACTGCTGGGAGGGCGTTCTACAGGGCGGGTGCCACTACCGAGAAGGCCCTCTGCCTGGTTCCCTGTAACTTTGCTTCTCACCAGCAGAAGACCCTCGGAGGGTGGGCCGGCCCTGTCCGCACATACTGCTAAAGGTGGTTGACTGAAAAAAATTGGCAAGCCTGTCCTTCAGGAAACTCACTGCTTCTGTGAAGTTTCAGAGAGTCAGACAGTGCTGGCTTTAAACCTGATAATCCCGAGTTCAGACCTCAGAGAGCTCAAATAGGAAATACCCCAGAGCTGTTGCAAAGATGAAACGAGCTAAGAAAATATAGTTTCTCACTCTGGGACTCTAAGATGAGGTAGCGTCTAAGCAAAGAAAGTGATAAGATGTGGAGGTTACTCCTGAAGCTGCTTGCTGAGATTAACAAAACTGGACCAAGATGGTGTAACCACAAGGTGAGGCAATGCTGGAATGGGGAAATGCTGACACTCAGAATGCAGGCCACAAAATGTGTGGTGTCATCTAGGGACCTGAGAACTTTCAACTTTAAAAAAAATAAAAAATGGAGAGAGAGGAAATTAGAAACAAAAAGAGACACTGAAGCGTACCTTCTATCTGCTGTGCTGTAGCTGCCAAACTTGTCGAAATCTGGACGGACAAGAAAATCTTCATTCATAACCTGCATTCAGTTTCTGAAATTCAGCACCGAAAATTCATTACTGGCACCAAACGGCGACTCTCAATCCTTTCCCTGTTTCCTTCTTTTTTACAAAAAAAGAAAAGAAAACTTTTCCAGCCATTATGGTGCTGAAATGCACCTGTGTGTCAAAAAAGAAAGAAAGAAAAAAGTCTAAAGTTTTTGTTTTGTTTTTTAAATAGGTTGATATCACAAAATCTTGTGGCAGTGAGTTCCATAAGCTGATGTTGTGTTTGGGAAAATTTTACCACTAGACAGTTTCACTATTCTCTCTTCCTATCATTTATGCTGCCTGGTGTTGTGGAGGTTTAGACCTCATGAAGGTCATTCTGAGTGATGTACTTTTTATTCCAATGACCCCCAACAACAAGGAGTCATCTCCTTGGGGTCATTCCAAAGAATAAGGGGTCTCAGAGTTGTTAATCACTGTCCCTACTTATTTTGTGGGTTAGGTTGGATTTGAGTTGCTGTTCTTTCAGACCTAAAATGTCTCGAAACTTTTAGCTGGTTTTGCTGCATGTTTCAAACTGCTCCCGTTTTAAACAAAGAGTTGTGGTTTTGTCATTGTCCTATACAAGAAAAAGAAGAATTTGCTTAAACACTGCTAGACTACAATGCAGATGTAGGACAATCAGAACTCTTACAATAAAGAAAACAAATGAATCAGCCTGTTTGCTTTTCAATACTTTCAATAAATTTATTTCCCCCTTTCCTTATTCTTTAGTTATCTTTACCTATTTCTGCAATTTGACAGCTCTTTCCCAGGCATCAGTTCAAAGATGATGGTTCAGAATTGCTACTGTACACATTCTCCTGGCACCTAAAATGTTTTTAACATGTTTCATATCCCACAAATGAAGCTAACACTACAAATATTTTAAATTCATCACTATTGGGTATCTTTGGAATACACAACACCCTTTTAAAGAAGACTGTAATCTTGCAGAATCACCATATACGCATGAAATCGGATGGATTCTTTTTTCATCTCCAAAAATTTGCAAGGTGCAAATTGCACATTTGCTGGTTTTGAATATGCTGAAATTATATACATTCCTCTTTGGGGTTGTGAATACTTTCAGAGGGGATATTATGCCAAACTTGGTCTGTACAGCACATCTTGTGGGAAAGGGAGATTTAGGTTCTTCACTCATTTAGGCTGCAATCGTAACATAATAGGAGTAACCTGCTCCATGCCCGCTAAATATTGTGGCACTTTACTTCTGAGTAAACATTGGAGGAAGTTAATGGTTGGATGTTTCCCATTCCTTCTCCCTCTGTACCCCCCTGAAAATCTTCTCCAGATGCTCTCTTCCCCCAAAGTCCCTAGCAACTCATCCCACATTGTTGAGGACACAGCAACTCTTCAGAGACACTTAGCTGCGTGCTCCAGTTCATGGCAAAGTTGTAGAAAGCATGGATCCATTTACTCAGGGTAGGACTGCATCTCTCCTCCACTCATCACCCACAGGCAGATGGGCAGATGGAGTGCATTCAGCAGAATCTGGAGCAGTACATAACTATCCCTTGCCCACTTTGCATCTCACACTTATTTTAGTCTGTGTTTCTGGTTATTACATCCCATTTTCAACCATACTCCTTTATCAATTCTTGCTGACATGCAGATGCACCAGCCGTGGACCAAATTTTAGGAGAATTGCATGCAGTGCAAACGGAGCTCAGGGAATTGTTATGCTAAGCCAAGAAATCATATAAGGTTTCTTGGAAAGATAGCAAGAGAGTCTTGAATCATTAGCCTGACCCAGAGGCAAATGCTTTAGGAGTAGGAGAGAAAGAGAGAGAGAACTGTACATATTTTGCGAAATGCTAAGTGGCACAGCCTGTGTTTGTGTTTCTCAAAAAAAAAAAACCGAGCTTAGTGCAAATTCACACGTGGTTAGGAAATTGCCACCTAACATGCACTGTCACACCCAGAAGGCCCACAGCATTGATTGCTCTATCTATAACCGGATGTGGGCTAATTTGCAAGCGTCTCGAAAGCAGAATATATTGGAGATGTAACAAAGGTGGGAAATAATTTCTCACGCTGCGGCAATCTATAAATGGAGGCTGGGACTTTACACGTGCTAACCTCAAACACTTTGCAATTTGCTACAACAGCATCAACCGTAGAGGGAACGGCATTGTGGCATGATTCCGTTGCAAGACTCCCAGCATTGTTCAGAAGATACACAGAAGCCAAAAAAACAAGTGAACCGCTGACCCTAGTGAGGTTCATGAATGGTCAATTTTTGAAGGCAGGGGGGGGCGGGGGCGGTGAACTATTGAAGCGTTAGTTCTCTGTATAAAGAGAAGCAAGAGAGTTTGAACCAGTAGGCTGACCCAGGAGCAGTGTGTGGGGAAGAGAAAAAAAAGATTACAGCTCCTACATACATACATTTGATGTATTATAATCCTGGCTTACTTTACAGATTTGTTGTAGGGATTACAGAAATATTTATCTCAGTAATCTTTACAAGGAATCTGTAAAGTAGGCCAGTATTATAATCCCCGTATTGCACATGACCTGGCCAATGTGTGCATGACACAATTGTCCAAGGATCCTGACATTGCAAAAGGGCACCCAATAGGGTTGCCACCTTTGGTTGGGCAAAATATGGCGAACTAATACCAGTGTACTGGAAGAAGCAAAGATCACCAGTGTCGAAGCAATGATTCTTCAACATCAACTTTGTTGGACTGGTCATGTTCTGCGGGTGTCTGATTATTGTCTTCCAAAGCAACTATATTCCGAACTTAAAAATGGAAAGCGTAATGCTGGTGGTCAACAAAAGAGGTTTAAAGACTGTCTCAAGGCAAATTTTTAAAAATGTAGTATAAATACCAACAATTGGCCTCCACAGTCATTTACAGACTCATTGTTAAATCCGTGTTTATGGAAGACAATCTTACTCGGCTACGAGTGATCGCCAAAAAAAGACATTTACGGTAATGTATTATAATACTGGCTTACCTTACAGTTTTGCTGTAGAGCAGGCATAGGCAAACTGGGCCCTCCAGATGTTTTGGGACTAAAACTCCCATCATCCCTGATCACTGGTCCTGTTAACTAGGGATGGCGGGAGTTGTAGTCCCAAAGTATCTGGAGGGCCGAGTTTGCTTATGCCTGCTGTGGAGATTACAGAGATGTTTATCTCAGTAATCTCTACACGGAATCTGTAAAGTAGGCCGGTATGATCATCCCCGTATTGCACATAACCTGGCCAATGTGTGCATGGGACAATTGCCCAAACATTGCAAAAGGGCACCCAGCAGGGTTGCCACCTTTGGTAGGGAAAAATATGGAACAAGTGTGGGGGGGGGGAGGACAGGTTGGGGTGGCTGGGGATTGGGGGGCACACACACTCTCATGACACCAAAACCTCCCCAGCCCTTTGTGGAGGGGGGCTCCCACATTCGGCCTTCCACCTCCCTCGCCACCCTGGCCCTGCTTTTCCCCTTGACTCGCATAGGTGGGCAGGGGCCAGGGGTAGATAGCCAGCTCCCTTGGGAGACTTGAGCCATAGCGCCAGCCTCTCACCCATTTGGGATCGGAAGAGACTTGAGCGCAGAGGAGGAGGAGGAGAGGTCAGGTCAGGGTGGCAGAGGGGGCAGGCGGTGGCTGATAATAATAATAATAATAATAATAATAATAATAATAATAATAATAATTTATTTATACCCCGTCCATCTGGCTGGGCTTCCCCAGCCACTCTGGGTGGCTTTCAACAAAATATTAAAATACAGTAATGCATCAAACATTAAAAGCTTCCCTAAACAGGGCTGCCTACAGATGTCTTCTAAAAGTCTGGTAGTTGTTGTTCTCTTTGACATCTGGTGGGAGGGCGTTCCCCAGGGCGGGTGCCACTACCGAGAAGGCCTTCTGCCTGGTTCTCTGAGGAGGAGCACTAGCAAGAGGGAAGGAAGGAGGGTATAAGGGAGAGAGAGGAGAAGATAGTTCTTGCCTCCTTCACTCTATTGTCGCTCAGGTCGGGCCAGGCTCCATCTCAGCCGCACCAACAGTGACACAACCGCCATTTGGGGCTGTTTGAGCTTGAATATGGGAAAAAAGGCATCCTGTCTGAAGTCCAAATGGGATAGGGGACACTTATGTTCAAAAACGGGGCGATCCTGTTTTCCTAGGGACAGGTGGCCAACCTAGCCCCCAATGATTTCCTGCGAGAGCAAAGATTTGAATCAGGAACTTCAAGCAATACAGTCTTAGAAAGCTTTACTCAGAAGCAATTGGCACTAAATTTAAAAGGGGCTTATTCCCCAGCAAACATGCTGAGTAATACCAGCTGATGATACAAATATCAGCCCATCCTCCTTCCGGTGCGATTTAAAATTGTGCATTCTTGTGCCTTCCAAACTTTGTGAAAGGCATAGTTATGTACCACAGAGGTGTGTTTGTGCGCCAGAACCTGCTTTTACAGTCTTCTGTGAAATCTAGGATTGCCATATTTTGAAGAGCAAAAAAGAGGACTTCTACTTTTAACTAGGGACGCGGGTGGCACTGTGGTCTAAATCACTGAGCCTAGGGCTTGCCAATCGAAAGGTCGGCGGTTTGGGGTGAGCTCCCATTGCTCGGTCCCAGCTCTTGCCAACCTGGTAGTTTGAAAGCACGTCAAAGTGCAATTAGATAAATAGGTACCGCTCTGGCGGGAAGGTAAACGGTGTTTCTGTGCACTGCTCTGGTTTCGCCAGAAGCGGCTTAGTCATGGTGGCCACATGACCTGGAAGCTGTATGTCGGCTCCCTCAGCCAGTAAAGCGAGATGAACACCGCAAGCCCACAGTCATTCGCGACTAGAGTTAACTGTCAGGGGTCCTTTTACTTTTAACTACTGATCGCTATGACGACTCTCATTTTAAATGCCCCTACTATATGTAGGCTAGAAAAGCTGTGTTATATTGCTAGTAGTAATGTTCTTAACTTTCAACAACAAAATAATAAGAGATATTGCTCCCTCACTTGCCA